ACTGCGGTGGTGTCTTGTTTTGTCTACCTGAGTGAATGACATGAGGCCCTTTGGAAAGAGTTAATCTCTAGTTGTATGGAACAGAATAGAAAGGAAATCACTGTTTGTTTTAAACTTGGTACCATCACGCAGATGTGAGGAGGACATCTGGTTGTCAGGAAGCCTCCTCAAAATTAAACAGGTATTAAATGACTGTTTGGTCCATTAAAAGCTTAAAACTATATCAGAATCTCTGCATGTTTTGCCTTATTATGTACAAAGCAAGTGCGTTTGACTGTAATCATTTTCCTCATTACACAAATCTTTGATCCCCAATCTTTAATCAGCCATTTGATTTAATCGCATACATGATTTATTGCCTTCATATTTATCTCCAAAGCATGTTATTGTTCCCCCAAAATGCAATTGTTAGCAGGTGAATTCCCTGCTGTTGCATTCAAGGACACTCAGACATTTAATATTTCAAAATCTGCTGGCAAGAAGTAACCATTTCATTCAACAAATGAACAAGTTCATGGTGTTATTACAGTGTTTCTGCCTTGTTTGTTGTCTGGCTTTTGTTTTCCCAGTGTTCTCAGCTCATTATTGCAATCTTTTTTTCCCAGAGCTGACTCTCATCATTATTGTCTGAGATTTTTGTGGTGATTTCTGGCAGATGTGTCCTTATATACCTTCCCAGTTCAAGTCAGTGTAGTTAGTTTTTATGGGAACAGACAAGGGGTTAAAGGGATTACATAATGAAGAAGCTCTGGGAGAGACAGCAGAGTGTTTTATAAAATGTGGTGTGACCACAGCCACAGAGGTTTCACATCTCTAAATGTATGAAAAAAGTTTGAGCCGTTTGTTCTGGATTGTTGCGCTGAAACACGGCTGTGTGTGTTTGTGAATACACATGCACATATAGAGGTGACTCGATAAGATCCATAAACATGTTCCTATCTGACTATCTGTGATGATGTGGAGTTACAGATGGTTGAGGTTTGATTAGATTCCAGACTCGGAGCCTCTCATCACATGTGGCAGCTCATTACAAACTGCTGTGCACTGACTGACAGCTGAGCTACTTTGGCCAGAGCCAGTTAAAGTTTTCCAAATACAATGTCTATCATCACCACATTATTATGACCCACATTTCTTTCTGTTTTTCCCTTTTCTGATCAGACCTTAACATCTAAAAATCTTAGCCAAGCACACACATTTTAAAACCCACAACCGACTAGTTCTTTCCACTATGGGGTGCACCCCCCACAAGATGGCCCCAGTAGATGTTATTATAATGTGACCAAAATCAGTTACACTGAAATGAACATCTTTTGTTTTATTGCATGTACCTTTAGTGTCATAAAAGGTGCACACTCTGTACAGTATTTGAGTAAGAGAAGACACCTGTTTTGTTCTGTTAATAATGTGAGTAAGTTATGTGTATTTGTGCATCAGAATAGGAATTTGTTCGTGCGCACGTATGTGTGTGTATGTGTGTGTGCGTGTGTGTATGAGTAAGTTATGTGTATTTGTGCATCAGAATAGGAATTTGTTCGTGCGCACGTATGTGTGTGTATGTGTGTGTGCGTGTGTGTATGAGTAAGTTATGTGTATTTGTGCATCAGAATAGGAATTTGTTCGTGCGCACGTATGTGTGTGTATGTGTGTGTGTGTGCTTTTATTAAATCTCCCTTTTCAAGTAAACAGATTATCAGTTGTGATGCACAAGGAATTTTGCCCTTTAGGTGTCTGTGCTGATGTGATATTAAGTGAAGCATTTTGTTCATTCGTGCAGTGAATGTTGAAAGGCAAGCAAAGTATTTACTGATCTTGATTTTTTTTTTGATAGATCCATAACTTATCATTAATTATCTTGTTGATGAATATGTATGTTACAAACTAAGGGCTAATAACAGTTGTCTCCAACCCTTTAAAATCGATCTGTGCAGACATTATGCTGTTAGTTATTTTTATTAAAACAATCCTTTTATCACAAAAGTAAAGAGGCCACTTCATTTTGAAATGGTGCTGCTCATGTCATTAAGTGGTGCTTAAGACTGGTCTTTTATTGTATTCATAATGGTCTGGCTTTTGCCATAACAGAGTGTCACACTGGGATTTTCTCAGTAAGAGACACACTCTGCCAAAACACACTGACCCTTTTTAAGAAATGTTTCTGTGGAGACAGCAGTGTTTGGGTTGTCTGTTGCTCATTTGGAAAGGGAGCAGGCATGCAAACACAAGATACCGTACAAACACACACAAACACACACCCTCATACACCTACAGTACAATCAGCCTCGTTTTTCAGTTTATTATACAGAAATAATGCTATTTTAAAAAAAAAATGTGGTAACTGTATATTTTTCTTCAACCTGGGTTCCTTTGCTTCTTACTTAAAATAATGCGACTGAGCCCCATTGCATCATGGTCTGCTGAAGCTGCTGTTTGTGGAGACATTAATGTCTGATTTTTCTACAGCATCGTTGTTCCATAAAAGGACTCGGCACCATACATGCGACATATCCTTAAAACATATGGTTACATAATGATACATAGTAAAAATAGGGTTTTTTTCCCTTTTCTTTCTTGTGAAATTAAATATGCTATAACTGTATGTCTGCACTAAAATTACAAGTTAAAGTCCTGTCCTCACAGTGGTCAAAGACAACACATCCTCTTCTTCCCAGGAACAGAGAGGTCACCTCACTAAAACCAGTGTTATTCCTTGATGACTTAATCACCTGGCAGCATGTTGTACTTCATTTATACACATTGAAGATATTACTGTGAACATTAGCTGGAGGACATGTACTGTATCTCTTGAGCCTTCCTCCTCTGCTCCAGTGCAGGTGGTGCTCAGACTCAGCCAAGGTTGATTCGTCTGAAGTCACACCCAGAGATGGAATTACTCACAGCTGACATTGTCCTGCACTGGGATGTTTCACTGCTCCACTTTCACGACTGACAGCATTATTAAGATTCACAAGTCATCAGTGAAGCCATATTCCTTCACCACGATCAGCTGTTTATTGCGAATACGCTGATGGGATGATGCATGGACACAGGAGAAACGTTGACTCTGCAAAGCTCCTGCCTCATGATGAGAACTTGAGCGAGTTCAGAGAGTGTATCTTTCTAGTTTCCATGGCGATCTGCCCAGCTGTTAAGCCTCTGACCTAGTAGAGGAACATCTGTGGTGATGTCACATTTGGGCAAAGAGGACGAGGAGTGACAGGCTGACCTCTGGGAATGTTGGCAGACGTGCTGTTGGCAGGACTTTACCACTGACAACACAGAAGATAGAGAGCAACGTCTGCGTCGAGCGGGGAGGCAGCCAACGGACCAGTCACCACTTTCTGATTCCAGGATTCTCTGGAATCAGAAATGAGTCAGAGTCTTTGGAAAATATTAAAGCTTGTTTTAGCATGCTTAGATTTCACTGTGTCAAGCATCCCAGAGACGGAAGCAGCTGTAAACTACAGTCCAGCCTCGTTAAAGTATTCAGCCACAGTGGAGGTCACACAGCAGAACGGTGTGGGTTGCACCTCATTGTTATTTTTTAATTGCCACAGTCTGTAGGGCTTTCAATCCTATTAGTGCATGGGGGAAGAAGTGTGCCCTGCTTCCTGTGGGGAGCCTCACTGGCCACACACACACACACACACTGCACTTGTAGAAGAGTTAATCTCGGCGCTCTCCATCTTCATCTAGGTCTCTTTTCCCCTCTCTCTTTGTCTTTGCTGCTCATTCACTCACTCATACACGCATGCCACGCGGTAAAGCTTAATTTACAGGAGCTGCCACTGCGCAGCACGTGTGTATTGGTCTTGCCTAATGCCTTCCAGATGCCCAGCATCTATACCCCGCTGCCCATACTCAAAGAACAGACGATTGTTCCAGGGGTCCTCCCTCTAAGGAGAACCAGGTGTGGTGGGGAGAGAGAGAGAGAGAGATTGTGTGTGTGTGTGCAAGAAGAGGAGAAAGGAGATGTTGTGGTAGGTGGGCATTCACAAAGTGCTTGCGTGTCTGTTGGAGAGAGAATAACAGTGTATGCACATGCAGTCTAGCATGCTTGAGAGCCCGTGTGTGTGTTCATTTATGTGTGTATGTGTGAGTGACTGACGGACAGGAAGAGAGCAGGCAAATGTGCATTCAGCCGTGCATACAATAATGGTAAGTATGCAGAATATGATGACATGGGTGGGGGCATTAGACAGACGGAAGCCCCCTCTCAGCCTCTTGGCAAACTTTATGGGGTGTATCTGACATGTTGTCAAACTGTAAAAGCCAAACTGCTTGGAACAGATCGGTGCCTCACAGGCTGTCTGACAGTGATCTGGGTGAACTCCTGGAGAAGATGTGTGAGGGAAATCTGGGACATTGAGGCCTACCTGAACTCCATGATCAAACGATTAATGATTATTGTAAAATAAATATATATATACACATATAGATAGGGTCACTTAGGGTTTCCATCCTTTAGTAAACATAGGTTTAATTACTTTTATAGCTCCATCTTTTCTGTACAGTTGGGGAATTAAACCATGAATTAGAGGATAATTGAAACTCTGACTGTCTGCGTTGTGGAATGCTTTAATATTTTCAGTCGTCTGACCCGAGGTTGGATCAGCCCCAGGCAAGAATAAGCTGTAGTCCAGCACTGGCCCCCTGCTCTCTGTGGACTGTCTATCCTGTCACCTTCAAGTACACATCAAACACAGAGCACACAGCATACAGCACATGGCAGCTGCATCATTATATTGTCTACACCCAGGTACCAAGCAGCACTGCAGCTGCCTGGCTCCTGATTTGCTGTGTTGGAGTTGGACCCTTATACCATGTTGTTTCTACATGGTTTTACAGCAGTAATTAATTTGCGTGTTCCGCTTTGTTTGATGACTTTTCAGCTCTGTTCCGGTGAAGGTGTCAGTAGGTCGATGATGCGCTCTGTTATATGAGAGATTTATTGCCCACTCTGCTAACATGGTTCCCACCTCCATGTTTGTTTCTTGCAGACCGTGGTTCTCAGGGAGCCTTGGACCTGACGGAGTTGATCGGCGTTCCCCTCCCCCCCTCCGTCTCCTTCGTCACAGGTTTCGAGGGTTACCCGGCCTACAGCTTCGGACCAGATGCCAACGTGGGCCGCCTCACAAAGTCCTTCATCCCTGATCCATTCTACAATGACTTTGCTGTCACGGTCATCGCTAAACCCACCACGCGGCGTGGTGGCATGCTGTTCGCCATTACAGATGCTTATCAAAAAGTAAGGCAGTGATATTGCATTTAACTCCACTCATCTCTGTCATTACCTATTTGTTTTCTGCCTTCACATAAAATTATGGTTTTTAACATCTAACTTTGCTGTTAAGATTGTACATTTAGGTATAGCGTTGTCAGAGGTGGAGGATGGTTCCCAGAGAGTTGTACTGTACTACACCGACCCAGGAACAACAGGTGGGACCCAGGAAGCAGCTTCCTTCAAAATGGGAGACCTGACAGGAAGATGGGCGAGGTTTACCCTGACTGTACAGGGGGCAGAGGTGGGTGTACTGGGTTCAGTTCATGTCTTTGTGTGGGTAAAGATGCTAAGATAAGATCGACTGGATCTACTGATCTCTGCGCTGTATTTAAAGTCTGGAGACAATGAGGATTTTGCATGTTATTCATAAAACAGTGGAAAAAATCTACTTTGCAAGAGGGACTCTTTTGTTTTTGGTAAATCTATTGACGTACAAGCATTTCAACAACAAGTGGGAGTGTAAATCTTTAAAAACAGATCACAAATACTCACTCAAAATAAACATAATGAAAGAACTTGTCACTCGGTGAAATGGTGTGGATCATTCATGTGTTTTTAATAGTTTTTGGCTGACAGTGGAGTTCTATGGTGCAGAGGAATAAGCTGTAACAGCCTTTGGCTGCACAGGCAATACGTGTTATTGAATGAAATTTGTTGGCTTCAGTCGTTTCATGGGATTTTCTTTTGACAGTTTAAAGAAAAACAGAATATCAACAGACATATCCTTTACCAATATTCTGATGCATTAAGTTCAGAAATTAGACATTCGCTGTGGAAATTGTTGACCACTAGGTGCTGTCAAAGTCAGAGGATGTCAAGTCCGCACATGTTAAATATGTATGTTTCACTTCGATCTTTTGCAGATGTTTATTTAATAAATGAAGATGTTGTAAGAAAATGAGACTAAGCTGAAAGCTCAGATAATATGATCTGTCAATGTGTATGCAACTGCAGAGAAATATGGTTTTACATCAGGTAACAATGTTCTTAGCTTAAAGTAAAATATGTGTCTGTCTCCCCTTGTACCTCAGGTGCGTCTCTACATGGACTGTGAGGAATACCACCGAGTCGCCTTCACCAGGAGTCCTCAGCCTCTGACCTTCGAGGCCAGCTCGGGGATCTTCGTAGGAAACGCTGGGGGTACAGGCCTGGCGAGGTTTGTGGTGAGTCGGGGTGGGACGGGAGTATTTGTTTATAGACGTGCACGAGCCAAGCCAATGCCACCCGTAATGTTTTGACACAGTAGCATTTAAAACCGTGATTTCCTCCTCTGTGTCTCTTGCATTGCATCCTCGTCCCTAGAGTCAGATGTGTTGGATCAGTGAGCTGTAAATGGATGTCGGACTCTGCTGCTTGCTGCAGAGACAAACGTGGCGTTCGGGAGGTTTTCCTATTTTACATTTGAGACATGAACACAATCGTCTTTGTTGGCAGCTTTATGACCACCACAGGAGACAAGGAATGAATGACCACATGTGTTTATGAGCACTGCCTCATCCTGTGGGACCTCATAAATGACAAACTGTGTGTGATTTACATTTTTGGAATATGGCCGATAGTCTCATCTTGAATGACTTATGCTGAGAGCGCAGTCGCCAATTAATAGGAGCACAATCAAACAATAGCAAGGACTTGAGGGTGGAGGTTCCAATCCAATGCATCTGCCGTTAAAAATATCCCTGTGTAGTTCTAATGAGGAGTGTGTGATAGAGAAGTGCTGAGGAATCAGATCCAGGAGAAGTAATAGTAACACATGCGATGCTGTGTTCTGCTCTCACTGCTCTTGTAAAAGAAAATGAACCAGTAAATGCTCTAGCACTTTCCTCCCAATCATCTGTGATTTTCTGTTTTGTAATTGCAGCGAAAAGCTGTGCTGATCCCAGCGTGGTCGGGATGGAGGGATGATGAGAGGAAAATAGTTCAGTGTAAAGGGAATATCAATCAATGGTGTGCTTTCTGTATGGCTTAGCAAGTAAAGCCAAACAGTAATCTGAGCTTTCAATGTTATCAAGATGTTAAATCTGAAACTTTGTGAAATTATTGCATTTTAATAAGAATCGTTTATCATCAATAAATCATTCCATGGCCATTGGCTAAATTAGAAAAATGCACGACTTTAAAAACAAAAACCAGGCCTCTTCTTTGCTGCATCGCGACCTTTTGTCCTCTTCCTCTCCTCCTGATTTGTTATTATGTAAGTTCGTGTGACAAGAAAAACTACAACATGTTTTGTTTCCAGGACAGTGGAAAGAAATTTTTATCGCCAAGAAGTTTTCTCTCATTAACATTTTATTGGTGAAATCTGAGGCGAGTTTCAAAGACATGTAGCGAGCCAGGGAGGGAGAGCGTTTGCTTATTCAGGAGTTTTTGGTCTCAGAGGGGAGTCAGTTTTGTTCTGGAGCAACCTATCAAAAGGGTTTCTACTACCTACTGTGGTTTAAAACCTGCTCTGACATAGGTATTTATATCATAGGGAGGAGAAAACCCGTCACTTTGCCTCTATTTCAAAATTTCAGATGTATTCTACTTCTTAACTAACTTCATCTGGTAGAGCAAAAGTAATGTTTGAATTGTCTCAAAAGGTTGATGTTTTGAACCCATTTGTTTTGACTCACTTCAGAGGGTGACATTTTATTTATAGCAGAGGAAGACTTTTATTGACTTGGTGGGGAAGCAGGGTCACTGAACCGATAATAGAGACACCAGGAAGTTGTTTTCCCCCATAGTATTGCAATTCAATTTAGTGTCATTTGAATTGAGATAAAATTGCTGTTGTTTAATCCCATGACTCTTGGCTACTGGCTTTCTGCCAAAGCGCCATGGGAAGAAAGTACATTTTGTTATATCTTTTGCTATAATACCAATTTATTAAAAATGGAACTTGTATAAGAAAACCTCAGTGTGTTAATGGAACAATGGGCTTTAGACAGAGCTTGACTTGTAGTTTGATCCTGCCTCTAGTCTTTATTCTAAGCTCCTGGAAGCGAGTCACCTTTTGGATATAGCTGTCAAACTATTCTTTAACAAAAGGCAACAGAGGTTAGCCCCCTCATCTCAAGTATTTACTAACAAGAGAAACACGTGTATGAGATCATTGACGTTTTCCAACTTCATCTGTGCTACACACTGTGTTCTTCCAGTGCCAGAGTCGTAGAGAATAGTCTAAAACATCATATTGTTTTTCAAAAGGTTCATTATTGTTGTGTTTTTCCCACACTGATGTTAATAGTCCTTCTCTCACCCACTTCTAGTGCTAAAGTGCTTTGTAAATTGCTCCTAAAAGTAGGAGTCTTGAAGTGAGGACTATGGTAGTTGCGGCCCTTATTTTTTTATGAGTTTCTCATAACCTGGCCAGTTACTTTTAGGATGCTTAATATTACTTCTCATTTAGAAACAAGTATTTTAAGTGGACATCTAACCAAACACATTAACAATGTTGTTACAGAAGCAGCCACAACTGCAACGTCTGGGTTGATTCCAGTCATGGACTTATTTTGGTGGTCATACCCTTCTCTCCTTCCTTGTTTCTAGTCTGCCTCTTCGCGGTCAACTCTCCAGTGACGGCAAATAAGCCAAAAAATCATCTTAAAAAAGAAAACTGGTGTCATAAATGAAGGCACACTAGTCATAATTGCTGAAGAGTTGTACACCTCCTGTGAAGCCATCATCTCTCCTCCCACTAAGCTCCCTCTCTTCCACTACCTCCCTTCCCTCAGACAAAGAGGAGCAGCAGCAGCTCTCTGCAGCAGGACGCTCACACACATGCAAAAGCAAATATGCTAAAATATCCTCTGCCACACTGATTTATTCACTCATAGTCTTGTTTTCCTTAGTTTCACGCCCCATGTTTGGTGTTGGAAAATGTTTGTGTGGCTGGCACCATCTCTACGTCAGTGTGTGTGTGTGTGTGAGTGCACAATCCTTTTTACAAATCTTCTGATTCTCCCTGAGCAACGGAGTGTGTTTTTCTTACTCATACTGTCTTAGCCAAGTATGGTCTTGATCAAGTGTGTGTCCTGTTGTGTGTTGAGAATCTCATGAATCACGGTTTGCTACAGTTTGAAGCAATTTCTTTTTCACAAGGTCGGGTTTATTTCCCAAAAGGTGAGAAGCATCAACCACAAGCATCACATATAATGATAATAACATATAGTGAATACTGTACATCATGAGGACCTACAGTAGTGATTTTAATTACTATCTAATCCTGTTTTGCCTTACAGTCCACAAGTCGTGGTAGATGTTTTTCTAATCAAATTAACTAGTGACACCTAGTGGCAGGAGGAGGCTACGTAGTGTGTATGTAACACATGGCTATACTGTATCACATTTTCTTTTTTTATATTTGAAATCAGTTGAATATGTCTTGACCCAGGACACAGTGGTGATGGCGTTCAGAGTTGACACACACACACACACACACACACACACACACACACACACACACACACACACACACACACGCACATCTGGCCATGAGCAGCCAGAGTGACCTGCTCTCTGTTGCTTTGGCAACAACACTTCTCCTCAACATGGTGACTGCCAGTAACTGCAGACACAGAGCAGTACCATGCAAGTACTTAACCTTTCTCTTGGCCATCCCTGACATGTGAACACTCCAAACAAAACCCAGACTGTAAAATATACACAGTCATATCCAGGCTGTGATACAACATCAAATACAGGCTGATATGTTATAACCCAAATGAGGAACACAGCCTCCGAAGTGGTTAGATACTTGCCCTCGGCTCCACAGTAAGGGTTTGAGAAAAATCAGTTACTGTTGCACAGTTGGAACAAAGACAGGGTGACTCAAGCTTGTACAATGCGTTCCCGAAGATGAAGCATCATATAACCTTGTATTTAACTGCCAATGGCAACAATTGTCTGTATAAAGTATTTTAGATGCATAGTTACTATTCAGAATATGCCACAAAGGTTCGCTCACAGATTCAGCTCCAAGATATGTTGCTAGAAACATAGTGATCAGTGGATCAGTGCATCTTCTCATTATGTTAAAAAAACTTCTTCATTGTTAAAACCCATTTGCTGCCTCTGTGCATCAGCACATGCTAGTTGATGTTCATTTAGAGCAAAGGGGTCAGTTATAATGTCCTCAGAAACGGGTTCAAAGGCAGACCTCACCCAGTCCAGGATCATTTCTGGTCACTGACCTCAGATCAGTCTGGCTGTACCCCAGAGCCAGAAGTGTTCTCTCACATGGGCAGCCATTATACATCCTCACATTTGGCACCCCAAACCTCCTGACTACACAAGGGTCTGGCCTAAACAGTCACACAGGCATCTTCTTCTAAAGCTTCCTTTTCCTTTAGCTCAAACACTTTGGTGTTTTTGTCATTTCTGAGGACACTGTGTTGACTTAAATTCATTCTCTAGAGGCACACCCTAACCTTATCTAAAGCATATCTCCAATCATGACAAAAACCACGTCCTGAGCCTGGAATAAATGGTTTTCTTTGTTGGGAGCGGCTTTATGTCCCTAGATTGTCCTTGAGCCTCCACTTTTCCACTATGTGTGCATGTTTTTGCCCCCAAAATGTGATTACATTGTCTAGTGTGAGCAGCTACTTCGCCTTTTATCTTTGAGTTATTCTAAACACTCTAGAAGATTGATTGTACTTGTGTGTCGAGAGTTTCAGAAAGCAAGACTCGAGCAAGTTGGAATTCAGTCAACTGTGTTATAGACATAGCTCTGTGTGTGTGTGTGTGTGTGTGCGTGTGCAAGCTTTTGAGCATGCCACCATAAATGTGTCACTCAAACAGCCTGGCACTGACAAATCCACCCAGTGACCTTAAGTGTTTACGTTCCTATAGTTACAAAGTTTTACAAAGTGACCATCTGAATCATTCGTCCACGTTTCTGTGGCTCAATTTAGGGGGGAATTCACATACCAAGGTTGTTTTTAAAAGAACGGGAAAAGGTTGTGTGGCGCATTCTTTGTTTGTTTCAGATGTGTTGTTTACTGCACAAACAGATGTCTCTGATTTTGTTGCCATCCCAACTCATATCCACCCATTCTCTCTCTCTCTCTCTCTCACTCCTTCACCTCCTTTGAATTTCACAGGCCGTGCTTCATTCCATTAAAAACAGGTGTTCGTCCTCTGGCCTAAAGTCAATATCAATAAACTTGGCTGAAATTGCTTTTGCAAGTTTTTACGGATCTAATAAGAGGACAGCCCCACTGACTCTGATGTAAATTTACAATTGTATGTGTGCACACCATACACACACTTTTCCCCTCCAGATGAAGTACCACCACTTTATAATGATTAAACATCGGTTGCAAACATCAGATATTTACACACTCGCTTTACAACACTTGGTGATAACTTAGAAAAGTGAGACCTTGAACAGAAGGTCAGAATTAATTCTGTTAACGTTTTATTGTCGGGCGACCTCTAGCATCCGCTCATTAATCTTGGCCAGTTGAAGCACTGATGCTTGTACAGTCACAGTAGTGGCTGGTAAACGTTTCCAGTGTTAAATTGTCAGTCTTAACACCTACACAGGTCCCTTGCTGACCCACTGACATGATGTGTAGCAGCTGTTACTGGCCTCAAAGCCGGGCCAACATTTTTGAATCAGGGTTTCTGTCGTTTACTATACTTCAATATAAAGTCAAAAATCTGTATCTGCAGGGGTGGATGAGGGAAAGTGATGCATAGTGAATGGCAGTAATGATGTTTGTGTAATGACTTTTGACTCTTAAAACACAGAACCTGCACCACAGTTACTGTAAAATCTGTTATTTTGACAATAAGTAAAAGTGCTGCCAATATTTGACAGCTCAATTATTTCACATCTCTTTAGCATTTGCATTTTCATGCATATTCAAATTATAGGCTGGTGCTTTTTAGGTTGATGTGAAAATTGTTGTTGGAGAACAGCAGTTTCGACAATAAGACACCTGTTTGACTGCTAGATGTTTGTGGTGGTGTGTGAATATTTGTGTTAGTGTGTGTGGAATAATGTGCAGGGTAATGAGGGACAGAGAAACAGATAAACTGTCATGCAGACAGACAGAGGCAATTTGCTGGTGTGTGTGGGAAATGTACGCTAAGCTTCTATAAAAACTTAATGACACAGAGTGAAGTTAATTACCACGCAGCATAACATCTCTTCTCTTTCTCCACTCCCCTCTCGCTCTCCAGGGCTCCATCCAGCAGCTGGTGTTGAAGTCAGATCCCACGGCCCCAGATGACCAGTGTGAGGAGGACGATCCTTATGTGAGTGTGCACGAAACCCCCCCCCCCCCCCCCCCAACACTTAGTCTGAAAAAGTTCAGTTATCATCGGTTCTGTTAAAGCACACTGCCTCTGCACTCCAAACCTGGAATCATTGCTCCCTCTACTGGTGAAAAAAGTGCACCATAATAAACTAAATGTCCAAAAGCATGCGGACAAGACTGTCCTTTGTGTATTTGTTCCTCTTTATTCCTGTTAAAGGGAAGTCATAATGCTTCAGACATAGCTAGCTCCCAATAGCTTTCCTGTTTTAACTTGACAGTCCCTCACCTGGACCTGGACCAGGACCTCACCTGTTTAGGATGTGAAACAATTAGTCATCCTTACTCACATTTACATTTGTGTGGCAGAGTGGAAATTGGTGGAAATAGATTTCTCCTCTTTTTCATCTGTCAGTTTTAAAATGATTTTTGGATGTAGACTGCTTAGAAAATACATTTCCTCATTTCCTTACATCAGTAACAGTAACACACAAACTATTGAATCACATCCGCGGTTTCAAGTGTTACAGGGTTTTTTGTTCCCCATGGTCCCCTTTAATTAAAGCACAGTAGTGTCCTTGTGATCTGTCATTATGGTTTGAAATAGAACTGGATTACCTGATGTGTTTTTTTTTTTTGTTTTTTGTTTTTTTAAAGGACAATCAGTGGGTGTGCATTTTGCATTCAGTACCAGTTTGTAGTTCAATATTTGAATGTTGATATGTTGTTATTGTTCCACATATTTTAGTCTCCTGTTTTTCTCAAATATTGTTTAGAGCATTCGTCAAATCTGAAATCAGTGTTTGGATATAGTTTAATTAAAACAAACTGTGGGGACCAAACGATGGGTATCCAAGTATTTTTTTTATTTATTTTTGGCCTATTTCCCGATCCAGTTCTCTCATCCCACAGCTTGAGATGTCAGATGCCATTTGTCCGTTGAAGAGCTTTTAATCATTTCTGTCTTTCTCCATGTTTATCTTCGGACTCCCTTTTTCCCTGCTCTCATCACTCTCCTCAGGCCTCTGGATACGGGAGTGGTGATGATGCTTATGAGGACATTGCAGAAAGAGAGGAAGTGAAGAAGGTTGTGGAGGAGAGAGAGTATACCATGGTGTGTATACACACATATGCACACACTGTCCCTCTGTTCTTCTCGTCTAACTGGTCTGGACTTGGACCAAAGAAAACAGCTCTTATCCTTTTAGGCCTGGTGGAGACTGGAACATGGTGATATGTGCGGCTCCCTGCCACCATCTCTGTGCTCTCTGAAATAAAGAGGAAAATAATACGACAGTGTGGAAAGAAAAGGGCTGAAAAGACAGCTAGGTTATTTTACTTATCTTTGATCACAAGAAAATGCTGGATATGGCATGGTGTTGCTTTCCAAATTTAAAACCAGCTTTTCATTATCAGATTGCTTTTTTCACAGATTCAAAGAAAAGCGATTATCCTGCTGGCTGTGTCTTACCAGCAGTAGGTTCTCAGTCACTCCTGCTTTTCCAGATGGAGGCAGGAGACAGATTCCTGAGCTTTAACAACTGATGTCTGTTTACAATATGTTTTAAAAAGCTAAGGGCTAAGATTTTAGCTTGGCAAACGCCAGCATCACAAAAGAAACAGCTTTAACAGGGGGGCTAACCAACTTTGAACAAAACCACCACTACACACCATAACTGTGGCAAGGTAGAGACCTCACAGACTACAACACTAACATTTGAAAAGGGAACAAATGTGTGGCTCGTTGTGAGGAGAGGGATATGAGATATGTGGGAGCTGTCATTCCCTGGAAAAATCACCACTTTCTGCTAACAAACAGCTTTGCATACATGTTCTCTCTTATACACAAGTCAGAGTTTACGCCTCTTCATTCATAAATTAGTGGAGAGAACAGAACACAAAAGGTTCCTCTGTTCCTTTACAGCTTTCTTTTTTTAATTTAATCTGCAGGAAAACGTCACTCTTACACATTCACACTAAAGAGCTTATCAGCATGATGTCAGTCCCAGTGGTCACAGGAGATTTCAGTGCTGCAGCTGAGAGCACATGGATAGACTGTCTCGTCACTGTGGCTCAAATGAAATATTTTTGCTCTGACTTCACTTACACGTCCCGGAGAACCTCACTGACTTTAACTTCTGTGTCACTAAGATTTTGAAAGTATGGAATCATGAGGTGTTTTCCAGATGTGTAACAGCTCTTATGCAGCCAGTTCAGAGCTATAAATGTGTATCCCTCAGGTGCATCAGGACAGTCAGAATACGGATTAAATTACTTGAGGAAAATAAAAATGTATGTTTTTTTTTTTTTTTTTGTCAGTCATTTCCATGGCTCATTCCTCAAATAGGACAGCAGCTTTTTCTTTGGCATGAGGTCAAGACGCTCTGTCATCACTGCATATCTTGTAAAAATAATGCAGAATTAATGTTGAAGTAATGCGACACTGTGAAGGCAGCCTGGTGTAATGTGAGGAATGTTTCAGCCTCAGCCTGACACTGTATTTGGATCTGGTCTGAGAGAAAACATTTCCTACCATCTGTGGCAAACACTCACTCTGCTCTTCCTTGTTTTTGTTTTTTTTTCTTTTTGCAGTCTGAGCAACAAAAAAAATCCTTTTTATGAATAAAACAGAAAGCCAAAAGCTGGAGTAACTAAATGTATACAACAAGGCTGATCTTATAGTTTTCTGCAGTTTCAAGGTTTTTTCAGATTTTAAAACTGAGCAAGAATCGTTCCTGCACATTGTGTTTTACAGCCCCTCCCAGAGCTGCACCCCACTTACAGCACCCCGGTTCAAGCTCCGCCCACTGAGATGTCAATCAGCTATGATGGTGATGATGAAGACATAGAGGAGACTTCTGGACAGGAGGACGAGATGATCACAGTTAGAGGTATGACTATATTCATTTGAGGTAATCTGTCTTTAGGATTCTTTACTTGCAGATAGATACCTCTATAACACACATGCATGCAAGCCTCTACTACAGCTGTGTGTGCTCATACAGTAATGATGTAGCAGTACATATCCAAGGCTGCACCTCCTGTCTTGTATTTTTCAAATAAGCCAGCAGATGGTGCTGCAACCTTCATTTCCCCATCTCTCTATTTCTGCCCTAAGTGAAGGTGAAGTCAGACTAAACTATACATGCAATAATAGTTGCATGAGTTTTAATAATCTTTATATAGTACAATCATCCTTATTTTTTTTTTTTAAATAGAAGTGGTTCATGTTTAATGTGCACACTGTGTTTCTGTGTCGCAGTACAATCACACCAGATGACCACTCCTGCCTCCATACTGGACACTGTAAGTAGCAATTTCCTCATTTATATTAATCAGGTTTTGTGACAGATGCTTTTAATTAGCTTATTATACTGAGGTATCACTAAGACAATAGTCCTTTTTTTACCCTAATTAATGTAAGTGCGATTAAAACTCCAATCTCATACTGTTTGATATATTCCAGGAAATGAATGAAAAAATGATTCAGTCAGTGAATCTACCTAATGATCAGTCCCTCAAGGTGTCTCCGGGGCAGAAAGGGGAGCGAGGGGAGCCAGGTCCAGCCGGTCCCCCAGGGCCCCCTGGCCCTCCAGGACGAACCTCAGGAGAGGGAGAGGGAGGGGAGCCGGGACCACGGGGTCCACAGGGGCCACAGGGAACCACTGGCCCACCTGGAGCACCTGGGAAAGATGGACAACCTGTGAGTTTTAATTAGCTTATATTCCAAATATTCTCTTTCTAAATGTAGCTTTCTATTTTTTTCTTTTCAGAGCACTGTCTGATGTTTCTGTTAGTTCTACAGGTCAAAGATAAAATAATGAATGGTTTTCCACTTTTGTCTTTTCTCCAGGGAATTAAAGGTGAAGACGGTTTGCCAGTAAGTGAAGCCTTTCCTCTTGTAGATTTATAGGTTCTTTCTTATCGGAGACTTTTTTAGTGTCTGGGGAAAAGTGATTCAGGAATGTACCCATGGTGTGTTACATGACCTGATATTCGATGTGGCATTGTCTCCGTTGTATTGAGCACAGCTGTGATTGTCTTTTTCCCAGGGAGCTACTGGGATTCCAGGATTCCCAGGACTTCAGGGCGAGCCTGGTCCTAAGGGAGACAAGGTAGACAGCGCCCCATATTTAATACCATAATAGCTGGACTTGAATATGGTTAGAATGTAAATACTTTCATGACCCCTGGTGTCTTCCTCAGGGTGATCCTGGTGTTGGATTACCAGGTCCTCCAGGGCCTCCTGGACCTCCTGGTCGACCTAGCAAGTCTTCCATGTTCCTGGTAGGTTGTTGAACTTTTTTTTTTTTTCCCTCTCCTTAGCATAACCTGGTGTGCTATAGTCATTAATGACAGTAACAGTTAAATCTGGCCGGTAATATTGGAGATTAAAGAACTTTATTGTATCCTTTTATTCTTATTCTAACCTATGTAGATACTCACTTTATTCTGCTGTTGATCTGGTTTGTTTGGTTGGATCTTTTCAGGTGTCACACCAGATGCTCGGCCATCTTTACCGAAGTTTTAATTAAAGAAAGTTACACAGCGCAGCTGGTCTTTCATCTGTTTGATAATCAAGTTGTCTTTAATTTGTACTAGAGGAGATGAATCCCAAATCATTTAATCCTTTTAGGTTCGACAAACTTGACATATTTAAAGGTTCTGTAAACGATCGTCACTGCCACTAGATGTTGCATTAGACCACCAGCATCTCAGACCAAAACAAACGCTTCGTCGGGCTCACCTCTGGCCTCCCTTTGGCCACAGACCGGCTACCAAAACAAAGACCAGAGACACTCAGATTACAACAACACAGAGGGGGTGGGACTTCACTGGATGTCATTACTCCACTATATCTTCACATAGAAAAAAGTTGTTTGATGCTGTATTAAAATCTCATTTACAGAACCTTTAATGTTTGCTACAGTTATGTTGTGTTGCATCTTACATCAGTAATGTGAGAGTGAGAGTATAAAAATGAATTAGTGAAAGTGAAGTATTCATCATATGAAATGACTGATACCTGCCCTGATGATTAATGGCTGATGCGTTTAGGTTTTTTTTTTTAGAAGTATTACATTATGAATCTCTGTGAACAAAATGACTCCTGAATGAAATATGAAGCATATGAAGCAAGGTCATTGATCAGTTCATTAACAGTGACTGGCTTGTTGACTAATGGACTGGTCATATGGCTTGTATTCATCAGGAGGGGTCAGGATTTGAAGACTTTGACAGTGATGCAGAAATTATCAGGGTGAGTGACTTTCTGTCTTGTTCCAGTTCATTTTGACCTTGATGTTGACCTGCTGCACTTGCTCTTCTTGTTTGCTCTTCTTTCTCATTATTATACAGATACTGAGAAAAAAAATGTGTGTGATGTTGTTGAAATTTGCTCTCGAGGTACATGGAACGCACTTTATAACACTTTTCCACTTTATGTGACTAAGGCATGTTGTCTTGTTTCATCAGGGGCCTCCAGGGCCTCCTGGCCCCCCAGGGCCCCCAGGAACCCCATCTGAGGGCATGTTTCCTGGACCACCTGGGGCCCCTGGAAAAGATGGAAAGGATGGAGAGATGGGTGAACCTGGACTCCCCGTAGGTTCAACATTAACATATCACACACAGTATTTATTTTCTGGAACAAGATGGCAGTGATTTGTAGAGAAAGCTTTCTTTCAGCAGCTTTTAAAGTTCGTCTTTAACATAAAACTTGACTAACTGAGGCCTTTCTGGTCTTCAGAACACTTGCACTGCTGACCTAGCTTCTGTTTTCAGGTGATTGAGGAGTGGTTTAGTGGCTTTGGTTCTGGGCTTGGTTCTGGTTCAGGGTCTGGTCAGGTATTAACATTTAGTCCCATCAAATCTATGGGGCTGAAAAGACAGTATTTCCCCCAACTTCACAACATAATCTCAGCTGTAGCATCTGTTGGGGAAAATGTGTCTTTTGTCTTTACAATGTTAGAGGCTTTTACTAACGGTGTGAATGGACTACTCACAGGTTTGCAATATTTACTGCTAACATTCACATTTGTTCAAAAATATGAATGGTAGCAACAATCACACAACACGTGCTAATTAAGTAATAAATGTACATATTGTTTCCTTCCTAAATTCAGAAACATAACTACAGTCTTGTCACTCTTGCAGGGAGTTGATGGAAAAGATGGCGATGCAGGGCCTGCTGGGGAGAAGGGAGAAAAGGTAAGGCCAACAATCATCACAGTATATTTTAACTATGGACAAAGAAATAAAAGGTACAAAACTGTAACTCTGAAGTTCTGTTGTTACTGTACAACTTCAAAATCTCTTGAGTTATTGCCTCTTATGTGAATGTACAGAACCTCAGCCTTTATCTGGCTCCTGCTTGTGTGATTTCCACCACCGCTGTGTTTTGTATCATCTGATTTCCCTTGAGCAGAGCTCTCAGTGCTCTGTTAGCAAAAAACAATTACACACAAACTAAATAACCACCCAACACAAACAGCCAAGCTGTTAATGAGGTGACCCTGCGGACTAATAAAGCTAAGAGCCTCGAGTGTAAACAAGTCTGTGTTCAGTAGCTTTTTGTGAAACTGTGTTCGCTCTCATGTCATTGCTGTAGTTAATGTTATTTGATTATATTTTATTTGTTAACAGGGAGAACCTGGTGTTAGTGGGCAACCAGGACCAAAGGTACGATCTGCACAGAACCACCATTACTGACATTAGCAGTTGTAATTATACTGGGCTTTTACACTGGCATTCTACCCAGTGTTGTATTTACACAGTACATTACAGTTTCGTTGTACAGTATACAATATTACAGTTCTTAAGATGATTTAATCTAAATTTTGAATTTGTCATCTGTCTCTCAGGGAGCTGAGGGCCCTCCAGGGTTTCCAGGCATTCCAGGGTCAGAGGGCCCAGAAGGGCAGCCCGGTCCCAGGGGTCCACCTGGCCCCCCAGGACCCCCTGGAAGAAGCTTCACCTTGGACTTTGAGGTATAGTCTATTTCATTACTTAAAGCTCGTTGGTTGTTTCTGCTTGGTATCTGTAGACAGAGCGTGACCTGTGCTGTTATATCTGCACAACATCCCACCTCATATCTACATGGAATCAACACAGAATCAGAGCTTTTATTTCTTATATTACCAGACTAGTTTGAAATGTTTGTGGCACATAAAAATGTTCTGTTATTAATTGTGTCCCTGCTTCAGTGTGTCATGTGCATCAAAATCACCTGGTGATTTTTTTTTGGAAATGGTGACAACCTTTTACTCCCAATTTGAACATTATAAATGTTCTTTTTTCTTTTTGTAGGACTTGGAAGGATCTGCGATGCAGAGCGGTTTTGGAGCTACACTCTCCAGAGGCCCACAGGTACAACTGCAATGAGTGTGTTACCATCAGAACATTCTGCACATATTATTATTTTTTATTTATTTATTTTTTCCTGATGTCAATCATATCATTGTCAGCCAGTCTTGTTGTAATATATTCAACTATACTACTGTTTTCCACAGGGTCCTCCAGGACTTCCTGGAGTTCCAGGACCCAAGGTAAAGTGTTTGTAAATGTGTGTGCACTCACTAGTTACTTAAAGCTGGTCCTCACAGTGGTATAACTTTCTGTCAGGGTTAAGATTTGGTTTAAGGGTTAAGAATGACATGAGTTGGGAACACTGGGAATGGGAATCAACACATTTGTTGACTGACTTCCCTTCAATGATACAATTCAGGTAAGAGACAGTTATGAATTTATTTAAACATGATTTTCTTTACCTCTCGTAGGGTAAAGATGGTTCAGATGGGTCTCTGGGAGCGCCAGGGCAAAAGGTGAGTCTGCTGTTGGGTCAGCTGTCCCTCTGTTATACTCTTTGAGATGGATCCCAGCACGAATCAGACAAACATCTTTAAAGTCTGTTTCCTTCAGGTCATAATAAACAGCTGATAAGTGAAAGGCCACATGGCCTCATAGGATGTCAGCTTCTTACATCAAGGTTTTCTAGAAAGCAGAGAGCCTGGTCAGACCCTGCCAGGTTGTGGTTCCTGTCTCCTGATGTTATCTCCTTCAGATATTAAGCATCACAATACATTTCAGTGAATCTTGTAATGATGTCCTTGTACTTTACCTGTGATTGGAGAGAAATATCCACACATGAGGAAGGCTGAAATCAAGTCCCTTTTTCATTTTTATTTAGTAAATGTGAAAGCTGTAAATGCATTTTACCCAGAGGAAAATGGAACAACACATTATATTGTATAGTTATGTACATGGATGGATGTATGGAGTGTGATGGATGTTTCTTCCTGGTTTCTGCAGGGGGATCGAGGTGCTCCTGGAGCACCAGGGCTTCAAGGACAGGATGGGCTAAAAGGGGCAGAGGTCAGAAAATGGATCGACTGATATACACATCAATGGATTAATGCTTTTTATTAAAATGAGCTTTTACAAATAGTTCAGCTGCACACAACTGGATCCCTAATAAAATCTGTCAAATGTCTGGTCATTTATATTATATCACACGTTACACACAAATTTGAATACCTGGATTAATGTAACATTCTCAACTACACAAACAAAAGAACATGTATTGTAGAGGGGGTTAAAGTTCATACATGTGGAAAGCACAACAATAATGACAGAAAATGACTTTATGTTTAACTCTGATAGTTTATGTCTTATCCTGTGTCATCTACAGGGACTGAAGGGGGACAAAGGTGATCCAGGACAAAAGGTAAAACAATGAGTGGCTAGACTTCATGTGCACATCTAGATCATTCTGTGTTGCTTTTTACTGAAATGCTGAACTGTGCTTTTCAGGGCGAGATGGGACGGGACGGACTCAGTATTCCTGGCGCTCCAGGACCACCTGGACCACCAGGACCCATTATCAACCTCCAGGATGTAAGTAGCACCTGACCACAGACATTCAGGGCTTACATATACTTGAAAGGACATGGCAGTGTTGGCAGTACTGCTAGCACTCTCTACTGTCTTATTGAGGGATGAGAACATGGTACAAGGACTTTCAGCTTCATGTTTTCATCACACAACAGTGACATTGACAAAACTCTCCTCCTGTCTCCTCTTTAGCTTCTACTTAATGATACAGATGGTACCTTCAACTTCTCAGGGATTTTTGAAGCTCAGGGACCTGCTGTGAGTATCAGGCAACAAAACATCTGTTGTAGATCAAATGATCTTGATTGTTTATATTCGTAGAGCGTATCATCCCTGTATTCCTGTTAATACATTCAGCTGTCAAGTTTCCTGTTCCAATGAGAAGTAAAGTACATGACACAAATGAGTACACAAACGTGGATTTGACAGCATGTTGAGACAGAGTCAAACATTTAGATATGGCGTTATCTTGTTTAAATTTACTGAATGTTTGTTTACAGGGACCACAGGGTCTGAAGGGTGACATTGGGTTGCCAGGTATTCAAGGACCTCCAGGATTGAAAGTAAGTGGGATGTGTATGCAGATGTGTGATATCTAAGCAAACTGAATAAGTGAAACCAAACATGAATTGTGCACCTATATAATATAAATTCATATCTCTGTACATACAAATAGTTTTACTCTGTCTACATATGTGTTTGTTTGTTTACTTGTGTGTATACATGCAGGGTGAAAAGGGCGAGCCAGGATATGTCATTGCAGCAGATGGATCGATGCTCTCAGGCCTGGCTGGTCCAGTAGGGCCCAGAGGAGACAAGGTTATCTCATGTCACAGTTTTCACTTTACAGATCCAGATCAATTTTTCTTGTTTTCTTCTTTTGTGTGCACTTACTACGAGTATTAAATGTACACATGTTCTTCAGGATTTCAGTATCAGTATAAACAGCCACCGAACATGTTGAAAACCTTTTCAACAGAACCGTACATGACAGTATAAATGTGTTTTTGTTTGTAGGGAGAAAGTGGTGTACATGGCGCCCCTGGGATTCCAGTAAGTATTGACAGCAAGCAACAAAAGCAAATTCAAACTAAGTTTAATTTTTCAGGTTTCATAACACCATCAATCATTTAAGAAATGCAATCAATCACTTTGTTTTGTTTTAACAGGGACCTATAGGACCGACAGGACCAAAAGGCGAATTTGGTTTTCCTGGAAGACCTGTAAGCACCATGAACTCACCAAACATTACCAATCATACAGACATAAGCACTTCTTTATCTTAATTGTTGATTATTTGATTGAGATATTCAGGTTTAAAAAAACACTTATTTTCTGTGTTCCTTTCACGTAACAAATGTTTGTCTTCTGCTGTGAAAAATACAACAAATTAAATCACACATTTACACAGTCTCATTTCCCAAATTTGCCTGTATGAGTCATTGAAGTTAAATATTCCCATATAGTTGTTGTTGTAGTAACTTGGATGCTTTTGGATAATGTCTGTGTGTGTGTGTGTGTGTGTGTGTAGGGTCGTCCAGGCCTGATGGGACCAAAAGGAGAGAGAGGGGACTCTGTTGGGCTGCCGGTGAGTCTCACACCGGGGTGGAATTAGGAGCATGTGAACAGACTGTAGTTTGTCTAATACAAAAGATACTGGTTGGGAATCTGCGAATGAACCATGTACAATTTGCTGTGACTTATTTGCGCCTGTTTGTTGTTATTACTTCTACTACAGTATGAAGCTTTATAGCACCTACTTTTCCCCTTTTAGTTTCTGTGTACTTCAAATTGTCTTAAAAGCTCACCTTGTTCTATTATCCATTTTTTTTGTTGTCTTCTTCTCAGGGACCTCCTGGGCCTCCTGGACCACCGGGCCGCCCAGGAATATTCAACTGCCCCAAAGGAGTAAGCACATACAAGCACACATTTTCATTAACACATGGTTTGAACTTCTTTTCTTTTCAGTTATCACCTGTTTTTATGGTTTAAATGCTTACTGCCCTCTCTCCTCTCCTGGTTTCTGAAGACTGTGTTCCCCATCCCTCCCAGACCCCACTGCAAAATGGCTGTAAGTTTCTATGTATATAACCATATTGATATTATAGCATGCGTTAATAAAATCTGTTATCACAGCCTGTGTTGGTGAACTTTATGGTTTTACTCATTTATTTTGATGAAATTCCACTGATTTGTAATCACAAATTAATTCACTGTCTTTGTCTGTGATCCTCCTCACTTGTCAATAATTGAAATAATATATTTATTATATACATATTGGCCTGCAGGAGTGTATCAGATATAGTGTGATGTATAATTAACTTTCTCCTACACAAGCTGTGTAAAAGTCATTGTTCAGATGGATCAATTATCTACAGGCCTTTGGAGACTGTGTGTGTATCCTCATTAACCCTCAATTTCCTGCATAATTTCTAATTTTAATTTATGTTTCTAATTCCCAACTACTGTTTTTGTGTTATTCCCATTCAGGGTACACCAACACTTTCACTCTCTGTTTCTTTTGCACATCTCCCCTCTTTTTCTTATGTGTACAGATAAAGTGCATGTTTCTCTATGTAACATTTTCTCACTCAGCACTACTCAGGGACTCTACCATATTCCTGCATGCTGCATGTCAAGTCTGGCATGGTCAGAGCTAAGTGCCAAAAACACAATAAGGTATCCACAGACAATCTGCGCTCGTCATTTGCATGTTGATTATAGTATTAACACTACAGAAGTAATGTGACTCTTTTTTTTCCTGACAAATTCCTATGATTCTGATTATTAAAGTCACTTGTTACTGACTGCTGTTAATGTTTGTGCTCCATTACTTCAGCTCAATCCCAATGGAACCATTGCAGTTGGTAAGTTGGATCATTTACGTTTACTATGAATTATGAAGCCTGATATCTGTTTTATCCACTCCCATCAAAATATCTCTGACGTTACAGAATATTTAGGATGTTAGTACCAAAAAGTTACTTAAAAAATACTTTCAACAAGCATATTTTTTACAATACAGTTTAGCAACTGATTTATGGCTTTTTGTCTCCAAGGTAACTGTCAGACGGGTCTAAAAGGAGAGAAGGGGGAGAGAGGCGTTTCTGGGATACCAGCCCCACAGAGTGAGTCAGGACTTTACATTTTGTCGCTTAAATCAAATCAAAGGATAACAGTGCTCCCAATGACAAATATCTGATGAAACAAAACCATTAAATGGCTTTGGATATCTCCAAAGAGAAAAATAATAAATCCAAAAAGAGCTCAATGAAGTGTGTTCTGAAGAAGGGCACTTTGTTTTGTATTTTCTCTGTATTTTCCCAGTGCTTGCTGGTATATTTAATGAAATCAACCTGCTGTGATGAAACTAGTTTTAGAATATCCTTAATGTTTCAACTCCTTCCCCTGTTTTCTTTTTTATAGATCCGTTTCTTCCCAGAGGAGGCTGGGTAAGTTTCAAAAAAAGTCTTTGTTTTATTTTGGGAACATGCTGGTTTAATGTGCCATAAGACTCAAGTGTGTATGTGTGTGTCTATGCCTGTGTATGTTATCACAGGGGGAAAGAGGTGACCAGGGTATCAAAGGGCAGAAGGGAGATAAGGGGGAGGCCGGTATGCCAGGGCTACCAGGTGTCCCCGGGAGACAAGGACTGGTGGTGAGTCAAAAGTCAAAGTCAAAAGTTCCATGGGTTGATGACTGTATCGTCTAAGGCAGTCAGTAACTTCTTCCTGTCATGTTTCAGGGACCAAAAGGAGAGTCGGTGCTCGGTCCTCCAGGCCGCCCTGGGGTACCAGGTTCACCAGGTATCCCAGGCTATGGGAGACCAGGTCCTGTCGGTCCTCCTGGGCCACCAGGGCCTCCAGGACCCCCTGGGTCACCCTCAAGATATGGCTCAGGTACAACTCATCAGTCATACATATGTCTTAGGATTATAGCAAAGTTTAATACTGTGTACCATTCTTATATCTGATGAGATCAAACTACCAGTTTGTATAAAAGTTTGCTGACATTTTTGTAATGGCAGCTGTGACCATCACTGGCCCCCCTGGACCTCCTGGACCACCTGGACCTCCCGGATCTTCGGGTAACGCAGCATCTGTAAGTTAATTAGTTTCTTCTGGCCTCATACAGTATGTATACATAAATAGTGAGTGTTACACCAGCATGCCAACTGTTGATGATTACCTTAAGAACTAGAACTTTTAATAGTTAACCACGCCACACGGCCTCCTTCAGCAAATATAACTGGACCTCTGTGTATTTGTTTGTCAGCTGAAAACATTTTCGACCCGGGAGAGTATGATGCAACAAACTGTCAGGGACGCAGAAGGAACTCTGGCGTATGTCACAGCAACAGGAAGTCTTTTCCTCAAGGTTTCCCAGGGGTGGAAAGAGATACAGGTAAAGACTTGAACAAGTGTTGTATATTTAGGTTAATCCCATATTAAATCATCCTGATATGCAATGCTAAATATGATTTTAAACCAAATGTGTCCATGAATGTCAGATTATTAAACAGTCAGATTTCAATTCTTTATACCATGACCAGTTGTGTAACCTTTCAGCTGAAAAATGAAGCTGCAGCATTCAGTAGGTAGAAACGTCCCCTGGAGGTGCCCCCTTTTTTAAAAGTGACCTGCATGTAGGTCAAGGCTGAAGTGATGCAGCAAATAGAACGGTGTAACAGCAATAACAGCAGCGTAGTTGTTTTTTTATTTCTTACTTGGAAGTTGTCATGGTCAGCGAAGCATTGAGTGAGTTTCATGATTTGTCTTTGAAACCTGTCAAAATCCAGACCTCATTTCAAAATTCAATGGACAGTGGAAAACATGTCTTTTTGGGAAAAGAATGATTTATATGTGATTTTTCTGACACTGAATCAGTGCTTCAAACATTTTGGAAATATTTTGTGAAGCCAAACTTTCTCTGTATTCAGGAAGGTGATCAATGATTCATCAGCCAGTAATTAATGCATAATTTATTTTAGTATCAAAATATTGTATTTAATGCATAATGTAACAGACTGGTTGTTGTTATTTTTGAAGATGAACTCAAATAACATGGAATCTGTTGTACCGTCTTGATGTTTCTGTTTTCTCCTCACAGCTCAGCAGTATGATCTACCTCTCCAATAATATCATACCACAGGATGAGGTAGTTGCTGATGGCTTTTTAATCATTGAAAAAAAATGTTTTTGTGGAATATTGTATGTGCCCGATTCATCTATTTAACATCTCGTTTCAACTCTTCATTTAGCCTCGAGTCGCTTATCAGATAAGAGGAGACACGATGGAAAGAATAAGTTCAGTTAAAGAGAGGGTGAGTTTAAATGTCATATTATTTTTTTTAAGACATATATACCAAGTGTGCACACACTTTTTCATAGTTATGGTAGATTTTTTTGACAATTTACAGTAAGTCGATCATTATTTAAGGTTACACTTAAACAGGATTCTTCCAGCCTCCTGGCGTCAATGACTCCTGCACATTCCCAGACTAACACTGAAGCGATGGCTTCCTCTCCCTCCAGCTCAACTTGGTGGCCTTGAACCAGCCCCACTCAGGGGACATGATGGGACTTGATGTGGCTGACAGGATGTGTTATGAGCAGGCCAATGCGATGGGTTTGGCTCCGAACTACAGAGCCTTCATTTCATCCCACAGGCAAGACCTGGTCCATGTGGTCTACCCTGGTTTCCGTGAAAATCTGCCAGTTACGAACCTCAGGGTGAGTCTGCCCCCCTGCTGTGTGTTGATGTTAAAATTTTTATCAGGCATGTGCCCTCCACATACAGGGGGTTTCTGGTTATATCTAACCCATTACATGTCTTCCTCCAGGGAGACATTATGTTCAGGAACTGGCGAGCAATTTTCAACGGCGATGGAGGTCCAATCAATTCCAGGATGCCCATCTACTCCTTTGATGGCCGGGATGTGTTAGCTGACCCCTTCTGGTCAGTAAACTTGGTTGTCTGCCTACGTCTTTGTTTGTTCTCTTGTGTGTGTCACGTTAACATCTTCTGTTCTCTGTCTGTCAGGCCTCAGAAGAGCATCTGGCACGGCTCCAGCAGCAGGGGCGTCCGAGTGGTGGACAAACACTGCGAGACGTGGCGAGCGGACCACATGTCCGTCATGGGCCAGTCATCCAGTCTGACCTCAGGTCTGCTCCTGGGCCAGCAGACGCGAAGCTGTTCCAACGAGTACATCGTCCTTTGCATCGAGACCCACAAAAACCCTTAAAGCCCCCCCAGCCCCCGCACCCCCCACCCCCACCCACATCCCATACCACTCCACCAAAGACCCCACCCCAGCCACCGTAAATGTTAAACACTCGGGGAAAAGATTTGTCGTTTTCAGCACAACATTGGTGCTATGTGTAGAATTTTGTGGGTTTCAAAACAGAAGACCACATTTAACACTCCAAGAGGATGTCAATACATATTTTTCACCTTCTCTTTTTTCTTTCTGAGGGGTGGAAAGTTTGTTAAGAGGCAGTAACAAACTCTTGACAACAGCAAAGATGTATTCTGGGAAGGTAAGCTAACATGACATTGGTGCTACGCTGTGGACATGAATTAACTTTGTAGATTTCTTGCAAAGCAAATTTTGCACCCTAAAGGAAATGTCTTTGTGCCGTAAAGCAATATGATAGATTTCCCATTAACTCCAGCATTGTGGCACATAATGTACAATACAAAAATTATGTAAAACACAAAACATTCAGTCTTCTTATCAATGATCACATTAATTCATGGCAATAATACAATCCTCCTAAAGTGAATGTAGTAATGATGTATTAATGTTAAAATGATACACGCAGCACCTTTAACCTTTTATTAAAATAAAAAAAGTTGCAACAAGATTAGTTTGTCACTTTACAAAAATCAAGCAAAGTAACACAAATGGCTTCACATAGTCACCGGGTGTGTTGAGGATAAGACGTCTCTTTTACGTTTGTCTTTTCGTCCTCCAAAAGACTGAAAGTAAAGACTGAGGACATACGTGGCTGCAGGAATCTGCACCTCTCCTGAAACATGGCAGTTCTTACAAATGATAGATTTCCAAAGACTTTTGCGATAGAAGCGTAAAAAGGCTACTTTCATTGTTTTGTTTACAGGTTGTCATGGACGTTTTTTTCAAAATTTTTTATGAGATTTCAAGAGAAGTTTACTCAATCTGTCAAAGGCCAGAACTTTCCACAACTTGCATAGTCTCGTCCACCAACAGGACGACCAGACAACCAGTGTTGCCACCAAAGTAATTTTTGATGCACTGTACTTTGTATTTTAAATATTTCTCAGTTCAACATTTTCGTCTTTGAATGTTGTTTGTGTTGTAGCTTTTCATACACCTTGGTGTTCTCACTCCTTAGCAGCTCTTTCTCTTAATAGGCTATTTAATTTAAATTCCATGATTTATTTATACTGTCACAGCACATAACATGAAATCAAATGATTAAATTTAAGAATGTAATTTATCGTTCGTTGTTTGTAAAATGACTGTTTCTTCTCACTTGTTTGCCTTTTTTTGTACAGTTTTTTTTTTTTTTTTGTAAGCTTGATAGATTTCTGAACAATGAGGACAGGTCAAAACCAAATTCCACCTAGTGTAGGCATACCAATTGAAACAAGCAAAAATATTTTCATGTTGAAAAAAAAAAAAACCCAATACTCCATTAGGAAATTTCATGGGCAAAAGTGAGAGCACATGTTTTTGTATAAATATTGATGCATTGTTGAATAAAGGTTTTTCTTTTCATAACCTGTTCTTGTTTCCTTCTCAATGTAGTGCAGAAAATAAATAACCATAAGTAACACTCAAATTTTCAATGAACAGAGAAGGGGGCTATTTTATTTATTTTGTGCCCTTAATTCTTTCTCTTTTCATTGGTAATATTAAAGACTAGGAAATTCCAAAGTAGTTCATGTTGTGGCAGGTAAGATCATTGAACTAATTACAAATATTTAGATATTTGGGCAGCAAAAAAGGATAATTCACTAAGTTAAAAGCTTTGAAAAAATGGAAACAGTGTAAGTGAAGGGTTTGAATGTTCAACATCCTCTTCCTCATCAATGTTCTTGTATGTGTTGGGAGTTCCAGCTGTTTTTCATGTCAAATGTAAACACTGAATATAAGATTTGCCTATAACTCACAGAAACATGGTATTGGGAAGCGCGCATTTCAAGCATGTTATTTATTTTGAGCACTGTACTATTTTTACTTTCTACTTTCACAGGAATAACTAAATAAAATAACATACCTTAGTTTTAGGAAACTGGCTATTTCAGCATTTATTTACATCTGTCAATTGTAATATGTTAACTTTGTTTAATTTTTTCCATGTTTTCTAGAAAATCGTAAACACATTTTAGCTTCCGATTTCGGGTGTAGACTTCAAAATAAGAGTAGGTTAAACAGAAATCCTAATGTCCAACTTTTAATTTTTCACAATCCTAAAGTGTTTCCATGTCTTTAAAATGCAGCTTTTTAATATTCCGTGTAGACATAATAAATATGAATTTTCTTTGGGGTTAGGGGAGGGCAATAATTCTGTACATTTCCCAGTTTGATGGAGATGAGAGCTTAGGAAAATAGGAAAATAATTAAACCTATCATCACGACAGAAAATGTTATACATATTGAGTCTGTATAATGCAAGTCCTATCATGCGTTCATTTATGAAAAATGAAAATGATAAATTAGGTCAGTTTGAGGTCACCCTTGATGCTTTTATTCTGAAGGAGGTAGACCGGAAGTGTTTACAACATGTAACCGGCGGCCAAATGGCGACACCATGGACTATTTAAAAAGAGCGACACACAGACGTGCTACTGTAATTTTTGCACTGAGAAACATGATTGTGGTGTTGCTTTTCGTTTCCCTTCTGTGTCTGCCGTTTAATTCTTCAACCAAGAAAAATGACAGACCCATAATTGGTGAGTTTATGTTTACATTATGTTATTTAGGCTAACCTAAAGTTAAGCTAACCTAAACCACCAACTAACCAAGCCACGTATTATATATTGTTTTAACTTGTAAAGTAATTGCATTATAACAGTAGTGTGGAGTCACTTAATTACACGTGTTCAAACTGTCTGTGTTTTTCTTTTGAAAGGTGTCCTGGCTCAAGAAGTTTATTCACCAGAACCCAATAAAACATCTTACATTGCTGCTTCTTATGTCAAGTACCTGGAGTCAGCGGGAGCGAGGGTTGTCCCTATTATGTGAGTCTCTGTTACAATTATCTAAGTCTAATCACTGTCATTCCCACAGTAGATAAGAGCTTTGCTAACAGGCGTGTTGTGTGTGAACTGCAACCTTTAACCTCTCCTTTTTCATGTGTATAGGATTAACAAGACACTGGAGGAGTACAAGACACTGTTCAACTCCATTAATGGGTAAATGTCTTGGAATATATTTACCTAATTTAGCACTCGGAGCCTATGTGCTTTGTGGAAATTCATTACAAAATGAATAATGACATATATGTATGTTTCAAAAGTAAACAACTTAATGTAAGGGGGTGGGCAAAATAATAAACTTTTTCTTGAGTTCATTTTAGTGAACAATTTAAGGCCAGTCTTGTAACGCAAATATCCCATTTTGTTTTTGTTTTTCTGTTTGGTATATGTCATCAGGACTTTCACTTTTGCAACACTGAATGAGTCTGCAGTGTTTATGACCAATGCACCAGCTGTAACTAGCCCTGTTTGTGACTATGTAAGCCACTCATATTGATTAGCAATTAGCAGCATGCAAGAACACTAGTATGACAAACCTAAATTTTGCAGGTAAGCTTTTAAGGCAATATGAACATGTGGCTACTTCCAGAGGTACAAATACGTTGTATAGTCAGCATTATTTGAATATTTGGTGCATCGATTCCAAATACAATCATGTCAAGTGGAAAGAGGTGAACTCATCAAACATCTGGCAACCCACTGACCCCATAACACATCATACTGAGTTACACCTCTGGGTGCTGCAAGCATATTACATTATAAGTTTTGCTATTATTTTGTTTACCCCCTGCATATATTAATTAAAAAAAATGTTGGTTTCTAACATTTAAATTCCTGTGTGTGTGTTTTGTCAACAGGATCCTTTACCCGGGCGGCAGTGCCAGCATTACCTCATCTGGTTATCAAAGGGCTGCAAAGATCTTTTATGATCTTGCCATTGAGGTAAATGTGTTTTTAAAAATTTATAACAAAGTTTTAATGTGTTGATGTTGGATTACTTTGCATACTGTATATGGTCTTTCAGGCAAATGATAGAGGCGACTATTTTCCTGTGTGGGGCACCTGTCTTGGATATGAGCAGCTGACCTATTTGACAAGTGGAAAGAATTTACTGTCGCGTACCAATACACTTGATGTGTCATTGCCTCTTGACTTCACTAATGGTATGGCTTTGTCTCATCAGATATACTTATGATAACTTATCAATAAGAGAATTCCTAATGTTCATTCAGCAGTGTATGGATGGATACAGTTACCTTTAGCTCTGAAGATCCAGGTTCACGTCTCAACTGTAAACATAAACTCATATCTTTTAGTTTTTTTTTTTTTACGTTTTTATTTTTTTTCATCTCTTTAACTAGATTTATCTAACATAATGATTAGAGTGACAAAAGTGGTGAGGTGGATAATGTTTGTTAAAGGATAAAGTTTGTCAAGTTTGTTAGGTTTAAATGCTAACATAGTCAAATTTTTTCTGCACTAAATAATTACATTTACCTTTTTATTAATTAAAAAAAAAGTAGGAGACTGTTTGACTAGTGTCAGGGGTGTAGTGTCAGAGGGCTGTCACAGTTTACAGGACAAAAGTGGACCTTCTTTACATGAATTGCTTTAAATGTCTTATGAAAATGTGTAAATTGTTATAATGTTATGACCCATCTGTAGAGACCCAAGACAGCCGGATGTTTAAAGTCTTCCCAGCTGAACTCATGACAGATCTGGCTTCTGAGCCGCTGACGGCAAACTCTCACAAGTGGAGTGTGTCATTGTTGGTAGGTCATTCATTGCTGTTATGATGAGAAAAGGGTTCTATCACCAACATTATAAACAGCATTTAGTAATGGGTGCAGTGCAAAAGCCACAGAATGTCAAGTGTGAATGTACAATAGAGAAATGTGAGTTTTTTTTCTCTCTCAAACATGTCAAAAATAATATTCTGACAATACAGAAAGTATAAAAGGACAAAACAGGATGTAGTGTAATTGGGTGCATTGTAACTAACCTCTGTGTCTTTCAGACTCACAACACAAACGAGGAACTGAAGAAGTTTTACAAAGTTCTCTCCACAAATATGGATGGAAACATAGAGTTTGTGTCAACAGTGGAAGGTAGTTATAATGCAGCATCACTTCATCACAAGTTTAGAGGCAAAATGAAGTATACTGAAGGGAGCTGTTTAAATGTGTAAATTAAATTTCCTCTTTGTTTACCTCGGCAGCTTATGATTACCCAATTTATGGGACACAGTGGCATCCAGAAAAAAATGCATTTGAATGGACGAGGTCTTATGTTTCACACTCTCCATCAGCAGTCAAGACCACCTTCTACATGGCTACATTTTTTGTCAATGAAGGTATGAACAGCACAGCATTATTTTCCGTTCGTTAACTAGAATAGTCAGTAGCTGAGTGATGAAGTCTTTGTGATGTGTAAATGTGGCATTGTTTTCTCTCCCTGCAGCCAGGAAGAACTTTCACAGCTTTGAATCCGCAGAGGGGGAGAGCGAAGCGCTGATATACAACTACAATCCTGTTTACACTGGGCAGCAGAGTGTCTTCGAGCAAAAATATTTTTTCTGATGTCTGTTTGCAGAGTGCTTTCCATATTCAGCCGCTGATTGGCTGTCTCTATCGTGTCACTTGTGAATGTTTACAGGTAATTTCTACTTGTTTGATTTTGCATTTGCTGCTCTCTCCGTTTGTTGAATCTGCAACAAAACAAACTGAGAACTAGAAACAGGATAGTTTTATACACGCAATATAAATCCTGATGCAGTACAGGATAAAGTTTGTGTTGAATTTCTTAAAGCCAATACATTTTGATGCTGATAATGATTTTTCAAAGCTGCACAAATCAGTGTATTTATAGCAGCATTACTCTTTATGTGAAAGGGGTTGCTCATAGTGATGAACCCACGGAGAATTATCACTCAGCCTCGTGGTTCTCCTCACCTCTATGGACCATTTAATCATTTTCCACTCCCTGTTTTTGTTTTCAGGCCTGCAAACTCTATTCTCATTAACCCAGCTTTCAGTCACAGAAGGCAGCTGTTTTTAGCAAAAATGTTCTTACAAAAACTACCCAAAACCAAATGGTGAACAGTTAGCGACTTTCTGGTGAACATGGTTACCAGCTAAAGAGCCAGAATATCTCTCCGGATTTATGGGAAACCAAAACATAGCTGAAAAGAGTTAATGCTTGACCAATGCTTGTTTCAAAAGGTGGACAGAAATGTGGCTCCGAATCTATCTTTACACAGAAATGTGTCTGTAAAAGTAAGCTTTTTTTTTTGCTAACAGCTTTATACTTTATACAGTGATAATGTGTAAATATTCAGCTTGCAGGGTGTTCTGCTGCCCCCAAGTGGCCAAATAAATAAATAAATAAAAAAAATTAACTGATGAGACAGATGAGTCAGAAACATTGAAGGCTGATAAAATATCTATTTTTTATTCTAACATTTACCTTCATGCCACAATCTGCCATTAATCTCCTTCTATGCTTTGGATAACAAAGTTGAGTGTCTTGAAAAAGTCCTCAACCACTGGCAAGAAAGTTTGATGTTGCCATTGGCATTTATAAAGTCCACTTTCAACTCGATTCAAGGACAGCAACAGGAGAACAGAAATGAATAGTCAAATGTAACTTCCAAAATGCTTTATGCACAAATAACACTCAGGTAATATTGTTTCTTTTTTCTTTTTTAGAATAAAATGATATTTGAATAACATTTACACATCAAGCTGACGAGACTGGGTTCTCAATCACAATACTACTGGAAATGTAATTTATGCAATCCAGTAAGGAACATTCAAGATGTCAAAATTACCATGTGGAACTGATCAGGGATAGTGCTGCAAATAACCTCTTAACATGCACTGAAACATAACACAAATGGCCATCCAAATAAAAAATTGAAAAATGGAAAACTAAACTTGTGCCTCAGGAATTTATCATTTTGGATTACGTATTTGCATGACTTTGACTCTGAAGCTAACACCATGTTTTCCCTTATATACAAATGCATAATTTCTCAGTGTATAACACTACTCCTAATACTTCCTGCCTTTAACCTTGTACAATGTATTCACTGATTTAAGCCAAGAGTAATACAGCACTTCCAAAAACAAACACTTCAGCTTCTGCACTGGTTATAAATTTTCTTTACCTACCATTCTTAAACATCTTAAAGCAATGACGCATGCAGAGTCTGTACATTTTAGCTAGGTGTCATTGGGCCTGTTTCCAGTGAATGGTAATTTTCTGTGAAACTTCAAAATCCCTTTACAGTTTCTGAATGAAGTGCTAGCTGTTGATGCTAGCTCTTTTAACTGACTGGGAAATATGCTTATTCACTTTCTTGTCTTGTCATTAGATGAAAATATTGATACCATCTGTCAAATATTAAATTACTGCTCATTAGCTTAGCTTAGCGTAAAGACTGGAGGTGTCGTAGATAAAACCTTATAGATAAGTGAATTAATAATACAGATGAGATTTCTTTCAGTCATGCATTAGTATTCATTGTGTTGCATTTTTACAGTTTAATTTTTCTTTTGCCTGTGCCTGTTAAATGATTTTAGTACTATGTGGTTAGAATTTGAACATTGTAGATCTGCAATGCAGAGTGGTGTCTGCGTCGATTGTGATCGATTGTGCGGTGATGGACTAGTAATGCCTCAGGGTTCCGGTAGAGGGGAACCGCGGTTCTGTCTGTGGTTCAAAATAGATGAATCAACACGATAACTGCGTGCCGCTTCATTCCTCATTGTTTCCCTGTTTAAGGTAAAAACAAAAACAAACATACTGTACACATATCACTGTAAATTTGACAAACTCTTTTCCTGGTAACTTGTCTAGTTACTGTTTGCCATTGTTTGATAAATTGTGTACCTCGTCGAAGTGCAAGCTGAGCTAGCGTTAGCTACTGCTACTGCCTAACTGTTGTGGCGCCATTTACATGTTGACTGAGAGACTTTTGTTTGTATTGTGTATAAAGTCATTCACGATAGGTGAGTGAACATGAAAGCTGCCCGTCACTTGATTCTTCGCCTTTTCCCTGTTAAAGGGCACAACGGAGGCAGGTGAAGAACAGCTAGCTTAGTTTTGTCGGCAAGTAAGAAAATCTGTTTACAAGCACCTCTGGCAAGTACAGGAAGTTAACGCTACGGGCTAAAAGATAGTCAAGGTAATGACCCCTGTTAAACCAGAACTTGAAGTTTTTACACTTTGGTTTTTGTACGGATTAAACAGGTTATAACATTCTAATAGTTAGCATCAGAGGAGCAAGTTCGAATAGTTTGCTACCTTTGGACAGAGCTTAGCTAGCTGTGTCTCAGCCGTTATACTAAGCTAATTGGCTGGTGGCTGTAACCTAATATTTATTGGACAGATCTGAGTGGTATCAATTTCGAATAAGAATATTTCCCAAAAATATCAATCTATTCCTATAAAATTAGATTTGTTGTAGTTTATAACTGCAGTCCCACAGCAGGATGTTTATAGTGAAAGTAAGGCACAGTGACCAAATCAAGTTAATGCTTCAACATTGGTAAAAACCAGAGCATCACAATAAAACTGTCTAAAATGAACATTAATAAAAACCCATGGCGTTTTTTTTTTTTTTTTTTAAACTTCCAAACATTTTACCAGTTGGAGAATTCTGTCAGCATCGCTAAAATACATAAGATGAGGCTACGTTTTGAAACCAACATGAGGGCAAACATGATACCAAAAGAAAATATATCAGTAATAGCTGAGTGAACATTTGTGTGCTATTTTACATACTGTAAGAACAACAGACACAACCACAGTCCAACATGGAAAGTTCTTCACAACTTTAAAAATAGTAACATTTCCTGTATCCACACAATTCCAGACACCCCTTAGAAACACTGCCGACCAGTGTTTTTCATCAGGTGTCTGATTTTTCATCGATATACAAGCCCACGAGTTATGTGCTATAAGGTGTTCCTTCTCCTTGCAGATCGAAAAGTCTGTGTGAGAGCTGATGCTTTCTCTCCACTGCTTCTGAGGAGCTGGTCCATCCTGCTGTGAAGGAGACTGCTTCCTGTTAGATCAATCAGTATATTCCAAAACATCATGTCAGGTCATCAGTCTTTGTTGGCTCTCTGGCTCTCTCCCTTTTGGATTTGAACTTAGGGCAGGAGATGAAGATGGAAGGATGGATGTTAGGAGTTGATCCGTCGTCTGCTGGAAGGGCAGTTTCAGGTTCAGCATGCGGACACGGGTGGGGTGGGTGGTCCAAACGCAAACCAAAACAAATGGAAAGAGCAGATGAGAGTTGCATATTGTGGACTATTGGACACCAGTGTTGTGGTAGATGACTACATGTGTGGGGGAGGATTTGGGGGGCACAGGAGGAGCCCTACAAGGCCAAGCTAACCCTCGTCTTCGCTCTCTTCTTCCAGAGCCTCCTCAAACACTCTCTCTGGTAGCCTGAAGCATTCCTCAAAGAAATTCACCAGGGACTGACTGAGGTGCTGCCGTGTGGCTTCGCTGTGAATGAAGTGGCCTTCATCTGGGTAGATCTGAGACACAAAGAATAAGGTGAGAACACACACACACACAGTTAGATTTCTTCAATAGGGCAGAGAGTTCGAGAAATCTATGTCACGCTGCACATATCTATCATTTTTTTCTTTTATTAGAGGAGAGAAAGGGGGTGAATGATATGGCCAGCTGTGCCAACCAGCAGAAATGCGATTCAAAGTTGACACCTCAACCCCCAGGCCAAAAGAGCCTTTAGTTGCATGAGATAGGTTTTTTTCAGTAACATTATGATTATTGCAAAATGTGCCTGAAGAAACTGGATGCAAACTGTTTTTCATTCCAGAAAACTATTATTTCTCTGGTTAGAGGGGGCAAAAAACAAATTCGAGAGTTCTGAGACCTAATTTATTTTTTGTGGTTTAGTATGTTTGGATTAATGGAGAATCCATTAATGTGTAGAATTGAGAGCAAACCAGTTTGCAGACTAAAGAAGAAGTAAAATAAATAAATGTGTATATTATGAGAAGCCGACAATACTTACACACATATCTAAATATTCAGTATGTATGTATCCGGAAGGCACCACACTTTAACCGGAAGTTGCTACGATGACTAGGCCTATTCGTTAAGGTGCAAACATGAAGAATGCTCATGTAATTTTCATTATTTTGATTAGCTTCCAGGTCTGTCCGTTGTTGGCCACCATTATGCATCTTGCCTCTACCTGTTTCTTGGCTGTTGGTGCGCCACCTTCCAGATACATACATGTGAAGTATTCAGTTTTGGCCTAAGCGGCTTCTCATAGTGTATATATATATATGTGTGTGGGTGAAAAAAAAATGAATAAAACGTTTTAATGCCAAGTAGCAGATTTAATCTTGGAAAACATCAGGCAAGGTTACAAATATCACTTTTTTTTTATTTATTAGTGACATAAAAAAATGTACATTACAGAGTGCAAGGTTTAGTCTTGTTTCATCCAAAGCCAAAAGGGATTCAATTTATGATAAAAAAAAAAGCACATTTTCATCATTAATAATTTTCTTTAATTCAGCACCAATGGGGGTTAAATTTCTGGAGTATGAGCTTAATGCAAACACAGTGGGGTCCAAAACTCTGAAACTGCTTTAAGTGCATGGGAAAGTGGTTACAGACTCTTGGACCGTACTGTATTTCAACTAAGTTATCATGTTTACTTGTGTTGACTTTAAACCTATCAGAGGCTACAAGTTAACGCGTGTGAGCGCAGTAACCTGTCTATCGGTCAGTAATGAGCTCTGATGAATGTTCAGCTGCAGTACATTGTATCCTAATTGGATTAGTCCTGGTGTTAACGCAGGATGCCCAAGAAGGTCTCATAAGCTCATTATGTGGAATGAAGGCATTGTGAGGGGCTAATCCTCTGCCTGCTGTGGGATCCCCACTGGGACCACAAAGCTCCCAAAGGTTGGAGAATAACCGAACCAGGGAAAGAAAGACAAGCAGAGAAATTGGACGCTGAGATGCCATTACAAATGAGTGGGAGCTAAACCACATACCTGTAAGGTGTAGTTGGCCTTTTCATTGATGAGCTGCGCGATGAATTTTGCTGTATGTTGGAAATGAACTTTTTCTGTAAAGACAGATGCCAAAACATCAGATTTGTGTTTTCTTTTATATCTTTTATATATGTTTCAGTGACTCATGACTCACCATCAGCTGTTGGATGGATAATAAGAAACTTCTTGTCCATAAACTGAGATGCTCTGTGCGCTAAATTTGCCATCTGAGGTGTAAAGACACAGACACAAATTAGATCAAATGGATATTACAGTAATTATCCCACCTAGATCTTTAAGCAATCAGAGCTTACTGTGTATGCCCTTGGATCAGGTTTAGGCAGTCCAAGATATCTCTCTGAAAATGCAGAGGCTGGAGGCGAAAAGAGGGTTTCAATTAAAACTTTGCTTTTGACACCAAAATCACAATGTCATATCAGTAACAAGATTGATGCATCATTTCTGTCCATTCTGAGAAGTCAAGTGCACATTTCCAGGTTTTTCCTTCTCCACATTCAAATGTATTCACCCATCTACATATTCTTTAGTCCTGGAGCTGTTGCGGAACGTCTTCATTTGCAATTCCAAACTCATACAATGTCATGGCATGTCTCTCACCCCCTCTGGCAAAAGCGAGAGAAATCAAATAGATGGGAAATTCGTCAAACTGCGAAAAGGAAAAAAAATAGCTCCTCCTTAATTTGCAGTTTCCTGACTCGGTGCACCTACAGCTACAAGAGCACTGTCTCTCTCTCTCTGTCACTCTCCTGATACGCACAACTCTGCATTTCACACATCTTATTCCTTTGGTATCCGAGGCGAGGCTGGTGTAGATAACTTTGTCTGGCACTGTTATGATTGGGTTCCAAGTGTATCGGCACCATCACAGTGACACTGTGAACAGGCTCATCTTTTTTTTTTTCTCTCTCTCTCTTTCACAGACATACATGTGAATGTATAAGACAGTGACTGAAATAAAATTCCAGCTGCAGGGGTAAAGGTGCTAGATTTGCAAACTCCCCTTTTGAATAGTCTCTGACAGCCATGCCTAGACCTAAGTGATTATGCAGAGACTACAGCTTTTTCGCATTGGAGCATACAGGTGAAAAAAATTCCATCGCAAACAAACGGCTTACCGTATAATTCAAAGTCGGTGATGGGTGACAGGACAGCTCCACATTTTACAGGAGACTCCTCGCCGCTGACCAACAAGCTGGTCACATAGCCGCCATACACCTGAGACACAAAGAAAATACATGTTATCACAAGTGGTTTCACAAGCTGACACTCAGAGAGCATAATAGTCCAACCTGCATGTTAACAAAGGATGTATGGCTCCTTTTCTCACCTGTCCAAAAGCTCCAACCCTGGTTTTGTCAATGTAGGGCTCTTTCAAAATAAAACTGCAACAGACAAACATTGGTCGTTGTCAAGAAGCACATTTACATTTTTGACTTTTGTTTATACTGTCTCACAATTGCAATTGTATGTCATACATGCAAGGTGTTTCTAAGGAACTTTTAACTACCACTCGTAACCAGTATAACATATTGCTTCAATTTCACTTCATGTAAACACAGTTACATATAAAGATCCTCAAATACAAATTTACAGCTAAAAAAAAATGTAATTTGATTGTATTTTCAGCAAGTTACATGTTTTCCAAATGCTGAAAAGGTTGGGTGAGATGGTTAGTGGTGTTGGAAAGCATCTCCTATAATAGATGTTTTTGTTTAAATTGCCCCACAACACCCAAATAGCTATTTATCATGTGTTTACTCTTCATATCTTTTAGGTTTTCAGGATAACAAGCAAAAACCTCCTGCTACACATACTTGAGTGCATCCTTCTGATCCTGCTCCTCGAACACACCCACTTTCTTCTGGATCCGGTGAAGCAGGTTGGTGCCCTGGAAGCCGCTGCCCCGTCCATCACAGCGCACCACGACGGCACCGAAGCTGCTCACCAGGACTGTGGCCCAGTCCATGTGAAACCGTTCTGACACCATCTGACCACCAGGTGTCCCATCGCTGCATGTGAAAAACCACAGACAAACCAGATGAGTGCAGTCAAGGCTGCTACATGATTTTTTTCTTATATCCTATTCATTTTTATTTTTAGTTATGAATTTGTGTCTTCATTATATTATCCCCTAATCTGTCCAAACACTTCTTTTCACAGACATTTGGGACAGATTTGGATGACTATTATGTACCATGTGTATCTGCGAGCTAGCAGCATTCTGCAGGATTCTCAGAATAAAACCTTAATTTGAAAAGTTTACTTCATCCCAAAGCTAATGTGGCACAATGTTCACAGATAAGAAGTCACGATAAACAAGAAAAGCTTGGATTTGAGCTAAAAGGAAGGGAAGGAATACTAATGAAAGAATGAAGGTGGAAAGGAGGGTAAGTTTCCTCATTTGCAGTGTAATTATTACCCAGCTAGAGTAGAGGACAAAGCAGCGCACCTTCTTGTTAGATTAATAAGCCTGATTAAAAGTCTGTCTGGGAAATCTCCACTGATGAGGACGAGCATGTCCTCGTATAACTTGGAGAGGAATGTGAGTCAGTGCTGCTAGAGCACACAAACTTTTTCTGTGTGTATGTGTGTGAAAACATGCGCTCATACATACACAAGCAGGAGGAGCGGATAGTGTGAAGTGTCCACGAAGCCTGCGGGTTTGAGGATCTGCATCGACAAAGCTGTAAACCAGATACACAACAGATATTTTTTTACTTTCTGTTTTTGCTACCATCATTCATAACAAACTGATTTGAGTTGCAGAAAATAAATTGTGATATCACCTCGTTCTGGAGGAGTCTCACCTAAGCTGCTACAGTAGTGAAATTATAATTACAACATCACAGCCTACTACAGTGGAAATAAAAAGTATTTGAACCCCTTGGAAGGAGCTGGTTTCATTAACTGATCATAAAATATGATATGATCTTTATTGAACACAGCCATTAAACACTCTAGGGCTAGTAAGTGAACCCTTGGATTTAATAACTGGTTGAACCTGCTTTAGCAGCAATAACCTCAAACAATATCTTCCAGCATATCTGAAATATACTGGTGGTGGTGGTGGGGGGTGTTGTTGACGTAGTGACTTGGTGTGACCAACAAGAAAATATGTTTATTTAATATTCCTCAGTGACATATTCCTCTTACCACATTGGGACCTGCTGCTTCAGCCTCTCCCTCAGCTGTCTCATCTGACTTTTCCATTCAATATCCACCCTGTCAGCGTCTTCTAACGTAATACCACACGTCTCCCTCTATCTCTCTTTGTGCATTAGCAGAACCAAACAGTATATGGGAGAGAGTAGGGAATTGTTAATCAATTCTGGATTGCGACGTTCTGATGGATTTAAAAACATACAAATAAAATGTCAAAGTGAGTTTTTTGAAGTCATTTTGTAGTATTATTTACTTTGTCATTTAGGGTCATTGTAAGTCTTCTGGGATCTATTTCACAAGGCATTGTTCGCATGATGTGATTGGCTACGGGGTTCACATACTTTTTCTGTGAATGATTGAATGGTGTATTCAGTATCAACAAAAACAATATAATGATTTGTGTGTTATGTTAAATTCTACAATTATTCAACAGTTTGGTCATTACTGTAATGTAGATGAAGGTATAACTGCAGACAACTCCCATTTTTTGTTCTTGTTTTTTTTTTTAACAGATTTTTGTAATTGTCAACTAAGAACTAATTTGTGCACATTTACATTATTTAACTTTTTACTTCGACAGATAACACATACTGTAATCATCCATGTTGATCTCCTTGTAATCCACTGTGGGCATCTGCATGGAGTCCAGGGTCAGCCTCAGGTTCTCATTGCTCTCCAGTTTATATACTTCAGCAATACCTGTAGACAGAACATGCCAAACCAGTTAATGAAGAACATTTGATACACAGATCCCTGGCAACCCAATTATGTCAAAATATGTATTTTAAAGTAAGTGTAAAAACTAAAAATCTTTCACGCAGAAAATTTGTATAGGTTTGCATATCTGTTGTGTGAAATTGAACAGACTTGACTTGTTGACTTAAGGACAATGAATTAATCATCCTTAAAACAATTAAAATCTGATTTAAAATTATTATTGCATTCATCTATTAATTCAAATAAGACTGGAGAATGTGTGGAGCTGTGTGTTTACATTCATACAACATCAGAACCTCTCCTCCTCCCAGACTTTCAGCTTGAGCGCCAACAGATGCAAACCAGAAAAAAACAGACATGAACTTAAACTGTGACCTGGATTTTCAAGTGGTTGTTGTCCTAAAAAGAGAAGCAGCTCTACTTATTCAACAGCTTACAGGTGGTTTTTTGCCAACTTATGGCTGCTGAAGTCGGAGGGGGATGCAGCAAACATTGTATGCTGGGATTAGTTTGTTGTAAAAATGGTCAAAAGGCAGCAACCAGAAGGGAAATCAACAGGCTGCTGCCAAATTTTGACAGACTCACATAAAAGCCGCCTGGCTCCTGGAGGAAAACCTCAATTAAAACTTTGTGAAAGGAAGGACAAGAAGTGGCAGCTGTGCCTGGAGCCAGCATGTTTCTGTACGCATGCACAGACTAACTCTGACCTGACCTTGTCTCTTGTCAATAGAATAGAGTCTTAGTAACATATGAAGAGCTAACAATGTTCTTTCACCTGTCATGGCCTCATATCCTGTTAAAAAAAAGAAAAGCACAAGACATTCTTATTGGCCACATGACTGTCATGTTAACTGCAGTATCATTTAAACCTGTCGGCATGGAAACGTCTCTAAAAAAAAAAAAAAGAAAATGCAAACTCACCAGTTTTGTGGGTGAAAATTTGCAAAACATTTTTGCCCTCGTGCTGTTAAACAGGTGAATACATAAAATAATCTACAGTAATAAAATTTCAAGCAGCATTTAAAGACTTGTTTTTTTAACATAGTCAGGGCAGGGACATCATATTGGTAAGAGTTGACACTGACTGGCACACACGCAGACTCTGGTAATCAAATTACAGTATGCTGATATTGCCATCGGGCAGGTCGTAATTTAATGAGGACATCCATTGTGCGGAGTAATATGATTACTTCCATCATGCTGGACTTGGCTTATAGACAAACACTGACTCAGTACACAGGTGGTCATTCGACACTGCGATGGAAACACTTCTGTCCCTATTTGGACAAGGTCACTTCAATGTAGCTATTATGCTAATGAATACAAGGTCACTTGTAATGACTTTAGCATAATTCAGAGTCTTGTAAATGCAAATCTGTGATGTAACAGGTTGAAATACTCACTTTCTCTATCTTGCGTCTCGCTTTCGGCGTCTCTCTGTGTCTTGTACACGGCTACAAATGGGATGTCAGGGCCTGAGGAGAAAATCAGAGAGGTTAAAAAATGAGGTACCTGACTTTTATAGATTTGTAATTTCATATTTAATCACATCATTCAGTGGCTCCTTTCAACCAGCCACTGTTTTAATATAAAAGACACCAGTAAATGGGACCTAATCTGCTTGATCTCAATGTATCCAGTCTTTTTTTCCCTTAAGAAAGTATTGTACTGAAATACAGGTGCACAGCAATATTTAGTTTCTTTTTAGGCCTGAGTAATGTATAGATTTATCATCAAATGCACGCTGATATCCTCAAGTGACTGCACATATTGGGCAAAAAACAAAGGTAAAGAAAAACCGGAGGAGACATCCCAGATCTTTTGTCTTTCAGACAGAGGCAATTCTTCGCTTATTCGATTTATGTAATGCAATAGCTGAAATAGCTCGTCCATATCTAGGCCGCAAACAGGCAAAGTCCCTGTAGTTAATCCCTAAAACCTCAAAATGGAGGGAGGAGGGACAGCAAATGTAGTGACTGATGCACTTAGCAAATTGGGAACATGGCACAGGAACACTGCGGTTGAATTTGGTGGAAAATACACCAGCCACTCACTCCCTCCCTCCTCTCTCTACCTCCTACTCTCTCTCTCTCTCTTGCGGGATTGATATCATAACCTCATCACATAAATTCTTGTAGGCAGGCAGCAGAAAGAGAGCTAGATTACAAATGTATGAGGTACAGGACCGTTGGCTTCATCATTGATTTCTGGGGTCAGTGGAGAGGGTTTTTAACAGCATTATGGTCTTTCACTGTTTGATCCGAATTCAGTGACGATCACTTAGAAAGGTTCAGAGGTGATTGACACGAAAGTGTTGGATCAGTGATTAAATATTGAAGCTGTAAGACTTCACGTCAGGCTGGAATCACAGAAACATGAATCTTTTGACACCGTGGGCTCTGTTTTTTGTGGCAGTGTGATGACAGTGCCATGACATCTTGATATTTTTCTGATCTTGAAAAGCGCTTTGCCTGTTCTTCTGGTATTCTCACGCCCAGTACAGTGCATCTAGATCAAAGGTGGAAGGAGAAGCGCAACGAGATCAGAGTCGGCTTTTTGTTGGTGAAAAGTGGCTGTTTGACATTGCAGTGAGAAAAGACATCCAAGGACCATTTTCAGCACAACACTGATTCCACCATCAGTAAAAAAAAAAAAAAAAAAACCTAAACTAGAAAATGTCATAGTATAATAAAACTTAAAAAAAACATTTAGCATAAGGCATTAAAACGTCATAGTATACTAAGGCATAAACTGCTACTATACAATGACATTTTTATGCCTTACTATACTATGACTTTTTATGCCTTACCATACTAGGATTTTTTATGTCTTACTATACTATGACTATTTTATGCCTTACTATACTATGACTTTTTATGCCTTACCATACTAGGATTTTTTATGTCTTACTATACTATGACTATTTTATGCCTTACTATACTATGACTTTTTATGCCTTACCATACTAGGATTTTTTATGTCTTACTATACTATGACTATTTTATGCCTTACTATACTATGACTTTTTATGCCTTACCATACTAGGATTTTTTATGTCTTACTATACTATGACTATTTTATGCCTTACTATACTATGACTTTTTATGCCTTACCATACTAGGATTTTTTATGTCTTACTATACTATGACTATTTTATGCCTTACTATACTATGACTTTTTATGCCTTACCATACTAGGATTTTTTATGTCTTACTATACTATGACTATTTTATGCCTTACTATACTATGACTTTTTATGCCTTACCATACTAGGATTTTTTATGTCTTACTATACTATGACTATTTTATGCCTTACTATACTATGACTTTTTATGCCTTACCATACTAGGATTTTTTATGTCTTACTATACTATGACTATTTTATGCCTTACTATACTATGACTTTTTATGCCTTACCATACTAGGATTTTTTATGTCTTACTATACTATGACTATTTTATGCCTTACTATACTATGACTTTTTATGCCTTACCATACTAGGATTTTTTATGTCTTACTATACTATGACTATTTTATGCCTTACTATACTATGACTTTTTATGCCTTACCATACTAGGATTTTTTATGTCTTACTATACTATGACTATTTTATGCCTTACTATACTATGACTTTTTATGCCTTACCATACTAGGATTTTTTATGTCTTACTATACTATGACTATTTTATGCCTTACTATACTATGACTTTTTATGCCTTACCATACTAGGATTTTTTATGTCTTACTATACTATGACTATTTTATGCCTTACTATACTATGACTTTTTATGCCTTACCATACTAGGATTTTTTATGTCTTACTATACTATGACTATTTTATGCCTTACTATACTATGATGTTTTTATGCCATACTATACTATGACATTTTTATGCCATATTATACTGTGATGTTCTTTGACATTTTCATACCTTACTATACTATGACTATTTTATGCCTTACTATACTATGAAGTTTTTTTGAAAATTTTATGCCATACTATACTATGACGTTTTTATGCCATACTATACTATGACGTTTTTATGCCATACTATACTATGACGTTTTTATGCCATACTATACTATGACGTTTTTATGCCATACTATACTATGACGTTTTTATGCCATACTATACTATGACGTTTTTATGCCATACTATACTATGACGTTTTTATGCCATACTATACTATGACGTTTTTATGCCATACTATACTATGACGTTTTTATGCCATACTATACTATGACGTTTTTATGCCATACTATACTATGACGTTTTTATGCCATACTATACTATGACGTTTTTATGCCATACTATACTATGACGTTTTTATGCCATACTATACTATGACATTTTTATGCCATATTATACTGTGATGTTCTTTGACATTTTCATACCTTACTATACTATGAAGTTTTTTTGAGAATTTTATGCCATACTATACTATGACGTTTTTTGACATTTTTATGCCTTACTACACTATGATGTTTTTTGACGTTTTTATGCCTTACTATACTATGATAATTTTATGCCATACTATACTATGACATTTTTATGCCTTAATATACTATGACGTTTTTGACATTTTTATGCCTTACTATNCATTTTATTCCCTTTATTTATTTGAACGTTTTTGAAAATTTTATGCCTTACTATACTTTGACGTTTTTTGACATTTTTATGCCTTACTATACTTTGACGTTTTTTGACATTTTTATGCCTTACTATACTATGATGTTTTTTGACGATTTTTATGACTTTTTGACGTTTTTATGAACTTTTATTCCTTAGTATACTATGGTGTTTTTTGACATTTTCATGCCATACTATACTATGACAGTTTTATCACTTTTTATACTATATTCTTTTTGGACATACTATGGAATATCAGAGGTCTGCTTAAACGCTCAGCTCATTTAAATCAGGTCTTAAAACATTACTATTTGCTGCAGCTTACCAATGAATTACACATGTAACATCCTATCAGTCTTTGAGTAGTCATCTTCTTGTTTTTGTTTTTGTATTCAATTTTTTTGCTAATGCAATATTGTGTTTAATATGCAATTCATATGGTTGTTTTAATGTCTTTTCACTGCATAACTCCCTGTAAATGCTGCTATAAGTATTGATGTAAGTGGTTGGTTAAAAAAAAGGGGAGAGAACAACTGTGGTGTGCGTGTCATTAAAGTATGACATTTTTATACCTTATTAAGTATGACATTTTTACGGCATACTATACTATTATACTTTCTGGACATGATTTGGAATATCTGAGGTCTGCTTAAACTGTCAGCTCATTTAAATTAGGTCTTATAAATTCTTCAGGTTTTTGTATCTCATTTATTTTTTATGCAATTTTGTCTTTAATATGTAATTTATATGGTTGTTTTAATGTCTTTTCACTGCATAACTTCTTGTAAATGCTGTTATAAGTGCTTCACGTCAGCTCGTTTAAATCATGTCTTTAACATTACTATTTGCTGCAGCTTACCAATAAATTNGCGGGTGAATAAACTGAAGAAAAGAACTGGAGTGTGTTTTAAAAGTATGACATTTTATGCCTTACTATACTGTGACTTTATACTATGACTTTTTATGCCTTTGTATACTATGATGTTTTTTTGACAATTTTATGCCATATTAAACATAATGCTTATTTTATGGTGTACTATACTGTTATAGTTTTTGGACATGCTATGGAACATATGAGGTCTGCTTCACGTCAGCTCGTTTAAATCAGGTCTTTAACATTACTATTTGCTGCAGCTTACCAATAAATTATACATGTAACCCCCTATTCTTGTTTTGTTTTGTTTTTTTTATGCAATTTTGTCTTTAATATGCAATTTATTTGGTTGTTTTAATGTCTTTAACTGCAGAACTTCCTGTAAATGTTGCTGTAAATATTGATGTACGTGGTTGGTTAATAAATTTGAGAGAGAACAACTGTGGTGTGTGTGTCATTAAAGTATGAGCATTGATGTAAGTGGCTGGTTAATAAATTCTGAAGAAAAAAACTTGTGTATGCGTGTTATTAAAGTATGACATTTTTATAACATACTGTACTTTGACGTTTTATTATAGTTATATGCCTTACTATACTATGACATTTTTATGAACTTTTATGCCATACTATACTATGAAGTTTTGATGACTTTTTATGCCTTACTATACAATGACGTTTTCTGACATTCTTATGCCTTACTATATTATGACATTTTTTATCACTTTTTGTGCCTTAGTATACTATGAAGGTCTTAGACATTTTCATGCCTTACTATATTATGACCTTTTTATGCCATCCTATACTATGACCTTTTGATGACTTACTATAATGTGACGTTTTTAAACATTTTTATGCCTTACTATACTATGACAATTTTATGCCTTACTATACTATGACGTTTTTGAAAATTTTATGCCATACTATACTATGACGCTTTTTGACATTTTAATGCCTTACTATACTAATTCAATT